TCACTTGTATACAAAAATTCCTCTCTGTAGGATATTTTCTCTTTCTAGAGAGCTTGGTTCCATGATGTTGGATTTGGCTGTTGTGCGAATCATCAGGGATTTCCTCTTAACCTAGGGTGTAGTTCTAGATTGTCTTTCTTTCTGTTTGGGTGAGATCTTGGTTCCGTTCCTGGTTAGGGTTTGGTTTGTTGTAGTTTTCTTAGCTGTCGTTTTTGCTTGGGGGTAGATCTAGGGTTTGGGTAGTTGTTTTTTAGCCTTGCCGTGGGTGTTTCTCTCGTATTTGCCCATTTTCTGTGTTGTTCTTGTGATTTTGGGTGTTTTCTTTGGTGTTACCCTTGTCTTTTCCTTGTAGGTTTTTATCTGGATAGTGGTTGGCTTAGATGGATGCAGATATCTCAGATCAGTTATCCAAGTTCAAGTTATCAATGAAGGAGGGGCAAAGGGTTGAATTATCTGATGAGGATGTAGCACCGGGTTTCAAAGAATGTCAGTTAAGCTTGATTGGGAAAATCTATGGAGAAAGGAAAGCTAATTTCAGTGAACTTAAAGCGACATTGAAAGGCATATGGTTTACAAAGAAGTCGTTTACCATCCGCAGCTTGGGTGATAATAAATTTCAATTCCTGTTCCAGTTGGAGGAAGACAAAGATCGAATCCTCAAAGGTAAAACTTGGTCCTTTGACGGACAATATATACTGTTGAAGCAATGGCAACCGAGAAGTACGGAGTTCTCAGAGGAAGAGGAAGTCATAAAGATATGGGTCCAAATTCAGAACTTACCATTGCATTGGGCCACAGCAGAAACAGGTATGAAAATTGAAAAACTGTTGGGGAAAGTCTTGGATGTTCAAATACCTACTGCGGAGGGAGTAAATGGGCAGATGATAAAAGTATTGGTGAAATGGAAGGTGAAAGAGGCTCTGCTGAGGGGGACAAAGATTAAAAGAGGGGAGGAAAGCCACTGGGTAGACTTCAGGTATGAGGCTCTTCAACACTTCTGCTTTTATTGTAGTAAAATAGGTCATTCTGACAAAAGTTGTTTGACTAAACAAGATGACATTAGTAGGAGCATTATTAATCTGGGACAGTTTGGTGATCAGGTAGCCCTATAATGTTAGGACTAGCCCTATTCCTAGCCAGGAGATAGTAGGGAAAGAGATTATTGGTAGGGATGGGTTAGAGAATGAGGATGTAGCTAGTGGTAGTGGGCTGGGCATTGATAAAAGTAAAATTATCCAGAGTGGGCCAGTGAGAGTGGGTTCATAGAAGTCCCAGTGCAGGAGAGGCTTGATCAGAAATACCTGACCAGTTTACTACTGTCACTGCTTATAAGGAAACTGATCCATATTTAGTGGATGTGAGTATTACCCCGGGTAACATAGAAAGTCAAGTTTTACAGAGAAAAAAGAAAGTTGTGGTGAGGAAACATAGAGGGGAGTTGTGATCAAATCTGATAATATGTTAGTGGATCCTGATGTTCATGTGGAGTAAAATGTGCTTACTTCTGTTTTGAAAAAGAAGAGACAAATCATAAATATTGCTGAAACTTTTGATGTTTTGTTAGAAAAGCCTGATAAGAAAAAACTTAAATGTTCCAAAAATCCAAATGATTTTGAGGTGGAGGAAACCAGCCCTAACTGGTCCCGAAGTATCCAATGAAAGCTATGGTGTGGAATTGTAGAGGGTTGGGGGGACCTTCTACAATTTCCCAGTTGAAGGAGGTCCTTAGGGATCACCTCCCAGATTTTACCTTTCTTTCAGAAACTAAAAAAATGTTTTGTTAATGGTGTGTGTAAGAAGCTTAGGGTTGATAATAGATGGTTTTATGTGGATCCCATCAATACTAAGGGAGGATTGCTTTTATGTTGGTCTGAAAATGTTACTGTTTTGGGGATAACTTGTTTAGATTTTGGGATTGTTGCTAAATTCTCTTGGAAAAATTATGTTGTTTGTTTGTGTGGGGTGTTTGTTTATGCTAGTACTAAACCTGTGGAGAGGTTAGGGCAGTGGAGTGTGTTGTTGAGACATAGGATGGGCTGGGGTAAGTTTTGGTTTATAAGGGGGGATTTTAATGACATTCTTAGCAATCAGGAGAAGAGAGGGGGTAGAGTTAGAGAGAGGGCTAGTTTTGAAGATTTTAGAAATCTTATCAGGGGCTGAGTGGAGTTGAACCTCAGTTAGTAGGGTACCCTTTTACTTGGTCTAATAGGAGGCGGGGGAGTGATTTTGTAGAGGAGAAGCTTGATAGATTTTTAGTTTCCCCTGCCTGGGCTCTGCAATTCCCTAACTACCAGATTAAAATTGTTCCTGTTATTGCATCTGACCACAGTATTGTGTTGCTAGAAGATCCTAATACTGTCTGTTTGAGGAAGAAAAGACTTTATTTTGATGCTAGATGGGTGAAGAGGGAAGGCTTCATTGAATGTATTGACAGTGCTTGGAACAAAAGAGCTGAGGGTTTTGAGTTGTATAATATTCAGATTAGAATCAGGAGGGTGAGGGTGGCTTTGCTTAAGTGGAATTCTGATAATAAATCTAACTCTGCTAAGGATATTGTTAATCTTAAGCATAAAATGAAAGAGTTGGAAGAGTTAGGAGGGGATAAAGATTGGGGTGATTGGCTTAACTGTAAAACCTTACTGAACTTGGCTTACTCTGAGGAAGAAACATTTTGGCACCAAAAATCTAGAATTACTTGGCTTAAATAAGGGGATAAGAATACAAAATTTTTTCAAGCTTCTGTTAAGCAAAGAAGAAAGTTTAATTTCCTTGATAATTTGGTGAAAAAAGATGGGTCTGCTTGTAATAATAGCCAAGACATTCAGGAGGTTATTGTTGATTACTATGCTGATTTGTTTAAATCTTCTCAACTTGTCTCTCATTTGTGTGATTTGACTGGGATTCATGAAGTTGTATCAAGGGAGCAGAACATGATGCTTTGCAGGGATGTGGAAGAAGAGGAGATTAAGCAGGCTGTGATGGAAATGGAGGAGGGTAAGGCTCCTGGGTTTGATGGAATTACTACATGCTTTTTCCAAAAAACTTGGGATGTTACTAAGAATCATTTATGTCTTGCCATCCAAATTTTTTTTCAAAGTGGTAGAATGCCAAAGGGTATAAACCACACTTTATTACTCTGATACCAAAGAAGTCCAATGCTACTGCTATTACTGATTATAGACCAATAAGCCTGTGTACTGTTGTCTATAGAATTATTGCAAAGATTCTTGCTAAAAGAATTCAATTTGTCCTATCTGAGTGCATTTCTCATAATCAAGCTGCATTTATTCCTGAGAGGCAACTGTTTGACAATATGGTAATTGCTAATGACTGCATCCATTACTTGAACAGCAAAAGAAAAGGTAAAAATTTTGGCATGGCTGTTGAAATTTGACATGGCTAAGGCTTATGATAGGGTAGAATGGGATTTTTTAGCTAGGGTCTGTAGGCAAATGGGTTTTTGTTCTAAAGTCATTAACTGGCTTCTTGTTTGTGTTTGTACTGCTACTTATTCCTTTTCTGTCAATGGTATGCCTTGTGGTTTTGTGCAACCTTCTAGAGGTCTGAGGCAAGGGGACCCTCTGTCCCCTTACCTATTCATTATTGTGTCAGAGGCTTTGTCTAATTTGATTAAGAAGGTTTGTTTGAGGGGGGAGTTTAAGGGTCTTAGAGTAGGGTTGAAAGCTCTTATGATCTCTCATCTGTTTTTTGCTGATGATTTCATCTTGTTCTGCAAAGCTGATAGATACCATGTTGAACTTATTTTACATCTTTTGGGTGTGTATGGGAATGATAGTGGTCAGTTGGTTAACCTGGGCAAATCCTCAATTTTCTTCTCTAAAAATACCCCTAATGATTTGACAGCAGACATTTGCCATATCTTAAATGGAATCTCAAAGGTTACCTCCTCTAGGTATCTTGGGCTTCCTTTAGGAATTGGAAAATCTAAAAGAGAGGTATTTCATTTCTTGAGTGAGAAATTTAAAGAAAAAACTGAGAGTTGGAAGACTATTTTTCTGAGTGAGGCTGGTAAGGATATATTGATAAATCCGTACTAGGGGCTATCCCTCTGTTTGTGATGTCATGCTTTACGAATCCTATAGTTGTGATCAAAGACCTGAATAAAGCTTTGGCTACTTTTTGGTGGGGCAAAAATGAGCAGAGAGGGAGTAAGGTACACTGGGCCTCTTGGGATAAAATTGCTAAGCCTAAATCTGGGGGGGGTTAGGGTTCAGGGATTTAAAGGCTTTTAATGAGGCACTCCTAGTTAAACAACTATGAAGGATCATTACTAAACCTAATTTATTGGTTAGCAGGTTGGTTAAGGGTAGATATTTCTGGGGTAAGAAGATCTTTGATGTGCAGCCAAAGGGTAGTGATTTTTGGCTCTGGAGGAGCTGGTTGAGTGCTAGGGATTCTTTGAAAATAGGGCTGAGGTACAGGGTAGGAGATGGGGCCTCTATTGATATATGGAAAGATCCATGGATCCCTAATAATTCCAGTTTCAGGCCTCAGTGTTGTTTGCAGGGAGATGGTAGTAGATTGAGCAAAGTTAAAGATCTTATGCTGCCTAGGGGTAAAGAATGGGATAGGGATTGTGTTATGCAATCTTTTCATCCTTTTGATGCAGGTATCATTTTGCTAATCCCTTTGAAGAACATAGCTGACAGGGATAAATGGGTGTGGCACTGGGGTTGTGATGGGAAGTTTTCAGTGAAAGCAGTTTATACTAGCATACTGAAGAATCAAGCACTGAAGCAACAACATAACTCTGGTAGTTGTTCTAAAGCTGATGGGATCTCACAAATGTGTAAGGCCACCTGGAAAATCAATGTGCATGGCAAGATCAAAAACTTCTTGTGAAGGGCATGGTTCAATTTTCTTGCTGCAAAATCTAACTTAAGAAGGAAAGGAATGGATGTGGGAAGTATGTGTGTAACTTGTGGGCTAGAAGAAGAAGATCTAAATCACATTTTCTTCAACTGTGAAAAAGTTGTTAGATGCTGAAAGATAAGTGGGTAGAAATGGGAGATGCTGCAGACTGGAAAAGGGGACTTCAGAAAATAGTGGATAGAGATTATCACTTGTAAGGGGTTGGATGGAATGGAGGAAAGGGTAAGTCTATCTGCCTATTTACTATGGGGATTATGGAGGGCAAGAAATGAATGGTTGTTTTCAAAAGAGCAACTATCTGACAGAGCTTTGGTTGAGAGAGCAATGAGGGCATGGAATGACTTTCAGACAGCTAATCCAAGGAAGAAAGATCTGGGCAGATTGATCAAATTGGCTCAAGGGAATGAGGACAGTGAAGAGGAGGAACCGGAAATTGGAGTAGGACAGCTATCTATGGCTATCAGTACTCACATCTCAGCTCAGGGTAATGTAGGGTTTGGGTGTGTGCTTAGAAAACAAGAGCAGATCATCAAAACTTGGGCCAAGACTGATACAACCGAGGGGGATGCTGAAATTACTCACTTGAGAGGCATTAAATGGGGACTGACTCTGGCCAAAGAGGGAGGATGGATTAGATGCGTGTGCATGGTGAAGTGCAAGGACTTACTGCAAAAATTAATATCGAGCACGGGTTTTTCTCCACATGCTATGGCACAGTGTCAAGACATTTGTAATATTAACTCTAGTGATGTTTTTATTTCCTTTGTTTTTGGTGATAGACTATGTACTCTTAGTGCTAAGCTTGCATGTGAAGCAGTTAGGGGTAATTTGGCATGATTGCCCCGTAAGGATTTATTTCGATTGTGAAGTAGATTCCTTCAACCATTTGGTTGTACGATTTGTACATGTTGTGAGCTTTTTAATGAAGTTATAATCGTTTCGAAAAAAATAAAAAAAATAAAAAAAAATAAAATAAAAAATCAATTACAATGTTTTCAAACAATTCCAAAATATTCCCAACACGTCTAGTGAATGAAGTAAAATATATCACGAGTTCGAACGAGATGCACTATACACAAGAACTAGTACGAATCCCGTGTGATGCACGAGTAAGAAATATTTTCTAATATTTATAAATTAAAATTGATCATTAAATAATATTTATAAATAAAAAATATGGAATCAATATGCAATACAATTTACCTATATTAATATGTAAAACGTGTCTATTTTAAATAGTACACGGCCCGTATGGTGCAAGAAACTGATAATAAATTACATTATATTCAAAAATTCGATTTGACTACAATGTGATTCAAGTAAATACAAACATTTATATGTTCCACGCACATTTACAAAAAAGTATCGACCATAGTATTCTCCAGATTTTTTTTCATTGATATCGAGTAAACTGCTTAGCAATATAAAAAAAAAAATATTGAGATACTATTTTTTTTTTACCATAGACGGATATATTGGATCAATATATGGTATACCAAATTATTTGAATACATATTTTATCGATAAAATATAAAAAATGATATTTAGTTTTACCACAAAATTAATTTCCCAACGTATAAAACAAAATCGAGACCCACATTTTTTATAGATAAAAATTAAAAAATAAAGACCCAAAAAATAATTATTAAAAAATAATTAAATAGAAATTTACTTCTAGTAAACTAATTATTTTAGATTTATAAATAATTATAAGTGAATAAATCAACTGAATTTTCACGATTTGTATAACTAGGGTATCTTAAAAATATAAATTTTTATGGTCTAATTATTTTCTCAATTATCCACGATTTGACTAATTAAATACATAAAAAATGAATAACAATTATTAAACAATATTTAAATAGAAAATATCATTAACACAATTTTTTAGAACAGTTTTTCGCAAATTGCATAATAGATTATTGTTGTTTATACTTTCATAATTGTAATAATTGTTGTTTATATTTTCATATTTAAGGTATATTGAAAATGTACATCACAAAAGAATTACCCAAAAAAATATAAACCACTTATTAAATAATAAATTACAAAATTTAATTAGAATTTTTTTACTAAATCACATAATTGATATTGCAGCCGAAATTCCTTTATTTGGGTAAATCAACCAGCTGTTACATGATTTGAGTAATTAAGTTATCTTAAAAATGAATGTTTTTTATAGATTAAGTATATCCTTAAATAATGAGCCGTAATTTCCATAAGTGATTATTTGAAATATATCATAAATTGTTAAATTAATTTTTAAAATAGTAAATAGATTATTTTTTTGAGGGAAATAATTAATATTTAAAAAATAATCAAACATTTATATATATATATATATATATATATATATATAGATTTGCGATAGACCTAACATAAGGAATAATATTAATTTTACATTTAAACTTGTATTAGACAATTATAACGGTAACATAATAATTATAAATTTCAATATACATTTATACGTTTACACTATATTTTTATAAAATAATTTTGTGTTCGCTCACATAACGATTACGTAGAATGAGACAATATTTTTGTAAGTTTTACCATAACATCCAATAAGATTTGGATCAACCACAGTTGGGAAAAAATGCCTAAAAATGGTGGGTTTATCATTATCATTGCTTGTGCAACTTGAATCAATTGTTTTATTAATACAAGTGGCGTGCCACTCAATTTTTTTAGCGTGGTGTGAAAATAAGCCGAAAGTTTAGATTTTCGTGGCAAAGTGGATGAGCCTCTAAAAAATTCATCATGACCAAAATTCACTTAAAGCCACACCTATAAANATGGCCAATATTCTTAACTGTAATCTTGTATCTTTCTTTTTTCTGTTATTACCGTTGCTCGCCCAATTACATCTTGGTATGTGTTTTTTTCTTCATTTTTTTTTATATCTTTTAATTTAATTTCCAAATATATGCCATCACTGGAGCTGGTAATCGAGCCAAACCACTCATGAGCTAAGCTCCGTTCGACTCGTTAAGGGTCGAACTCAGTTGGGGTCCTTTGATAAATGAACTGAGTTATAACTAAAAATATGTTTTTTATGTAATTTATTTAAACTTTTAACATAATTCAGCTCGTTAAGGTTCAAGTCTATTTATCGTCTCATTAACTTAATGAGTTGAGTTCGGCTCGCCTCGCCTGCCTAATTTACACCCTTTAGCCATCATCAATAATTTGTTTTTTGTTGAATTTCTTTTCTCTTTTAATTATATCTCACCAAGAAATTAATTTAGGCACACACATTAGCATTAAGAAGTATCCTCATATAATTTTGCTAACATATCATGATAATATTTTCAAAACAAGATTTACCATTCTCATTATTTCAGGAAAAAGTGAGCTTGAGTTGAATTACTACAACCAAAGCTGCCCCAAAGCAGAACAAATAATCAAGGAACAAGTTGAACAACTGTACAAAAAACATGGAAACACAGCAGCTTCATGGCTTAGAAATCTCTTCCATGATTGTGCTCTCATAGTATGCACATAATTTTTTATTTCTTTTATATACCTATAAAAATATCCTGCAAATTAACTTCTATTAATAATTAGTTCAACACTCATTTCCAATTTTCAATCTTTTTCTTTCTTTTTAAAACTGTTGATAGTCGTGCGATGCATCCTTACTGCTCGACAATGCAAACGACATAATTTCCGAGAAATCGGAGCCGAGGAGTTTTGGTATGAGAAATTTTAAGTACATAAACACAATCAAAGAGGCTCTTGAGAAGGAATGTCCCATGACTGTTTCTTGTGCTGATATTATTGCCCTCTCAGCAAGAGATGGGGTGGCTTTGGTAATATTCATTTCTTAAACACCCCTTAATTAATTAATTATTTGTATCATTCGATATTATCTCTTTTTCTTAATTTTGTCAGGTCGTTTTATATAAATTTGTGACATATAAAATATATATATAAATATTTTCTTTTGCTGGTTTCGACAGTTGGGAGGGCCATCGATTGATGTGAAGACCGGTCGAAGAGATAGTACGGAAAGCTACGCATCGGAAGTTGATAATTACATCCCTAATCACAATGATAGCATGTCATTAGTGCTAAGCACGTTTGAAAAGATTGGTGTTGATACAGAAGGTCTTGTTGCTCTATTAGGTGATTACTCCTTAATTCTCTTTATTCAACATAGATGAGATTTCATCATTTTGATATAGTGTGTAGTTGAAATAATATGAACCAAATTTTAGTATAATAATCATACAAACACTCTTTCTAAACTATGTGAAATGCTATTTGCAATTATGATATGGTGTTATTTTAATCAGTAATCATATGGAAGAACAACATCAATATATAATAGATAAGATTGTTGTTAAATATACAGTAAGTGGGTGGTGTATTCATTTAGGATTTCTAAAAGTTTGTAATACTTTAGAAATCTAGTGTATTTAATTAGGCTTTTTCATTTAGAATTCTGAAAAGTCTTACAAAATCTTGAGATATCTAAATTATTTGAGATTATGATTTGTTAAGACTTTTTAAGATTTGCTGGGATTTCAAAAAGAAAAACTCTTATACGAAATCTCACTCCAAACTTAAAATTTCATAAAATTCCTCCAAAATTTGAAAATATTGAAGTCTCAAAATGTTACTCGAAATCTATGAATACATTCCCCTAATATTCTTTCAAATTGATATGTTATACCTTAATAAAACAACATAAACAAGAAAAATATGACGGGTCAATCAGATAATCGATTAGACTGTCTCACACAAAAAATTGTATATCTATGATGAGACTGATTTCGCAATCAAATTGAAATATCGATTAAAAAAAATGTACATATAAAATATAGGTGCACACTCGGTTGGACGAACTCACTGCCAGAACATAGTCCAAAGACTATACCCTACTGTGGACTCGACTTTGGACTCGAGCTATGCCAAGTACCTCAAGAGACGATGCCCGACATCAACCCCAAACCCGAAAGCGGTCGAGTACGTGAGGAACGACCTTGGGACGCCGATGATTTTGGACAACGTTTACTACAAGAACATACTGGCCCATAAAGGGGTCCTGCTGGTGGACCAGGAGCTGGTGTCCGACCCAAGAACGAGCCCATTTGTGAACAAGATGGCCCAAAATAACGAATATTTTCTTCAGCAGTTTTCGCGGGCTTTCTTGATTTTGTCCGAAAATAATCCGCTGACGAAGGATGAGGGCGAGATCAGAAGGGACTGCCGATTTGTGAACTCTAATTGACTTTAGAATTTACATGTTGCAAAAAGTTGTTTTGGGCCTTTTTGTTTTTTTTAACACTTTCTCAGCTAGTATGTTTGCAAGCTTACTGAATTAGGCTTGGAAAATGGGCCTCATGGGCCTATTTATGCCTTGTCCAATTCCAGTGTAACAGTCTACAAGGTTTGGCCCATCGATGGTGTATGTGTACTAGTATCTATAATCTAATCTATCTATCGNAATAATGACGATGGAGGAATAATTGGTGGAGTCGAAAAGCCGTTTGGCACCAAAAAAAAAAAAAACAAAAAAAGAAAAAACAAAACATTATTTTCCTAACTAAAGAAAATAGAGAAACTATTTTGTTTTAGACGTTCACTCACACGCATGAGCTCAGCCATCGGCGAGTGTTGACTAACACGACTTTTGCGTAGGTGATTTCAGTCTCAATTATTATCAACTTTCTAGGCAGTTTTAATTTTATTACGTTGGATCAATTATACAATGTAATTGGTATACCATATATTATTGTTAACTGTACTTATGTGGACGTTAGCTTAATTTACTAAAGCACCACTTTTAACTGCAAATGAATTTATTTATTATCATCAGTTATAATAAACCTTCAGTTATTGTTCACAATATAATATGAAATTCTCTATGTGGTTATTATTATTAGCCATGAAACAAACATATTAATATTGGACATGGTTTTATCAAGTGCTTAAAACTAATAGGTAATGTAAAAATTAATCAAGCTCAATAACAATTTTCAACCAAACGCACTCTAAAAATCGTAATCAATCTCCAAGATAGTTTTAATTGATATGATAATGCATAATTTGGGTTTAAGTCTATGTCAAATCCGACTAATTTTGATCCTACATCAAACGATATCTATATATATATATAAAGAGCCATCCTATTTATTAAAATTAGTAGTAAGAAAAGTCAAATGATAATTAATACATTCTATTTCCATCAATTTTTTCAATTGTATCATTATTTTATTGCTAAAAATTCAGTTTGCATTAATTCATCCTTAATTAATGTGTTTTGCAATAAAATAGGACAGATAGACTTCAAGTAAAAACATGTCTCATTTCAAATTTAAATTTAAATATTAAAATTTTTTATCATTTTGTTACATTGAAATCCTGAATGAATTGTTTGCTATAAAATCGGACAAAATAATAATTGCATAGAATTCAAGTAAAAACATGTGTCATTTATAATTTAAATTTTAAAATTTCCTATCATTTTGTTACATTTCCGAATGATTTGTTTCTCATAACATTGGGCGGAATTAATAATTGCATAGAGTTCAATTATGATTTCAAATTTATATCAAGGATGTTTAATAATTGCATAAAATTTCAAAGATGTTTATTTATTATAAAAAAATAAATTCTATTTGTGTATATTTTGTAAAATATTTGTAAAAAATGTTTTACTTTAAATTTATTTATATAATTTAAATTAATTACATTAATAAAATAATATGAACATATATTAAATATTTTAATTACATAAAACAAGAAGAAGAAGAAGACTACATCTATAACTTGTATAAATAATAATAATGACATTATATTACAATAAATTTTATAATAAAATAATATGAGTATTATACGAGAAACAAAATTACGTAAAATTGTTATTTTTCTTATATCAAATATATATAATGAAATCAAATTTTTATTATTATAAACATGTGAGCGATATAATATATTAATTAATTTACGAGCTTGCGCTATCAGAGTCAGATTTAATGTTACGACAAAATAAATGACGTTGATGAAAAAATGTAAAAAAATAGATGATCAAACTTTATTATTTTTTATGCCTAAACACACAAGCCTTATGGTTCACTCATTTAATATCTCTCGTGAATCGCACGAGCTACTTAACAAACAAACTCTGTGAAATGACTAATTTAATACTTCTATTTCTATCCCGTGCATCGCACAGGCTACTTACTGAAACACTCGATCTAATGCAACACAGAATCTAAACTCGAATCCAAGAACACACATTCCCCACATCTTAAAAGTCTCGAATCATAAATAAACTGTAAACTGTGAAACTTTATCTTCTTTCAACGTACTTCCCCAAAATCTATTACTCCTTTTTTTTAATGACAAACCGATCCACAGAAAATATTACCGTTGAAAATAAACACGTGGCGTCCACCTGTCCTCCCTTATGGCCTTATCCCTCTTTGGCCCTAGGATTCTTTTCTCTCTCATCACAGAATCAGTGAATCACAGTTCCCACCATCCCTTTCTCTCTCCTCCCATCCCACTTTGTCTCTTTCATTACATTGTCCTCTCTCTCTCTCTACACTTCCCGGCGAAACAGGAAAAAGTAAGTAAAAAAGCTAGTAAAAAGGAAAGAAATTGATACATGGGTTGTTCTTGAATTCAGCCGATGACGTCAATTCCCGGCTGGTTCTGTCTCGCCTTCGTCCTACTCGTCCTCTTCTCCGGCAATGCGGCCACCGCCGACGCCGCCGCGGCGATCGAGTTCGACTTTGGGACGCTTACCATGTCCAGCATGAAGCTCCTCGGCGACGCCCGCCTAAGCAACGGGAGCGTGCTCCTCACGCGCGACGTCAGCGTCCCGTACTCCGGCGCCGGCAGGATCCTATACTCCCATCCGGTGGCCTTCCGTCGGCCTGGGACTCGGGATCTCGCCAGATTCTCCACCTTCTTCTCGTTCTCCATCTCCAACCTCAACCCCTCCTCCATCGGCGGCGGCCTGGCCTTCGTCATCTCCGCGGACGACGAGTACCTCGGCGACTCCGGTGGGTTCCTCGGCGTCACCGGCGCCGGTCCCCGTCGCACCTCCGCCGTCGTGGCGGTGGAGTTCGACACCCTGATGGACGTTGAGTTCAAGGACATCAACGGCAACCACGTCGGCCTGGATCTCGGCTCCATGGTCTCCGCCCGCGCCTCCGATCTGGACGCTGCCGGCGTCGACCTCAAGAGCGGCGACCTGGTCAACTCGTGGGTCGACTACTCCGGGCCCACCCGATCGATAGAGGTATACGTCTCCTACTCCAACCTAAAACCCAAAACTCCCATCCTCACCGCCGCCCTCAACCTCTCCGACCACATTCCCGACGACTTCGCCTTCGTCGGATTCTCCGGGTCGACCCAAGGCAGCACCGAGACCCACACCATCGAATGGTGGAGCTTCAGTTCATCCTTCAACGAGATCCCCTCTCCGCGGGCCCCACCCCCTTCCTCCCCATTAATTAACCCCTCCGCCGACACCATCCTCCCGCCGCCACCTCAGCCGCCATCCAATCCTCCGAACGCCACCTCACCCGCCACCCCAGGAAAATGCCACAGCCCGCTCTGCAAAAACGGGCCGGGCCCAATAATCGGCGTCCTCACAGCCGGCGCTTTCCTCTTCGCCTTGTGCGCCCTCGCCCTCGTCTGGGCCCACCACAAAAAACCCCCATCGGCATCCCGAAAAATCACCACCGAAACCCTCGGCTCGTACGTAAACAAAATGCGTCCGAAAGAATTCAAATACAACGAGCTCCACATCGCCACAAACGGTTTCAACCCGACCCGTATAATCGGGCACGGCTCGTTCGGAACCGTATACAAAGGCATCCTCCCCACGACCCGCGATTCAGTCGCCGTCAAACGCTGCAGCCACAAAGAACAGGGGAGAACAGAGTTCCTCTCCGAACTCTCGATAATCGGTACCCTCCGCCACCGGAACCTCGTCCGACTCCAAGGCTGGTGCCACGAGAAAGGCGAATCCCTCCTCGTCTACGACCTCATGCCAAACGGGAGCTTAGACAAAGCACTCTTCGAGTCGAAAACCGTTCTCCCGTGGGCCCACCGGCGAAAAATCCTTCACGGCGTGGCCTCTGCTCTCGCTTACCTTCACGGGGAATGCGAGTCCCGAGTAATCCACCGCGACGTGAAAACGAGCAACGTGATGCTCGACGAGGGTTTTAATGCCAGGCTGGGCGATTTCGGGCTGGCCCGACAGGTGGCGCATGATGGGGAGTCGCCGGAGGCCGCCGCCACTGTGGCGGCGGGGACGATGGGTTACCTGGCGCCGGAGTATCTGTTAACGGGCCGGGCTTCGGAGAAAACGGATGTGTTTAGTTATGGAGCGGTGGTCTTGGAAGTGGTGACTGGGAGGCGGGCTATTGAGCGCGGGAGCCCGAATAGCAATCTTGTGGAGTGGGTGTGGGGTTTGCATCGGGAGGGGAGGTTGGAGGAGGCGGCGGATGGGCGGTTGGTGGGGGTGGATAAGGGGGATTTGGGCCGGGTGTTGATGATTGGGCTGGGCTGTGCGAATCCGGATCCGGAGGCCCGGCCCGGAATCAGGGGGGTGGTGCAGATGCTGGCGGGAGAGGCGGAGGTGCCGGAAGTGCCGAGGGTGAGGCCGGGAACGAGCTATAGTACGGCGGATCTTTTGATGACGTTGCAGGACAGCGTGTCGGATTTGAACGGGACGTTGATGATGATGATCGAGCTGTCGTCGACGAGTTCCTCGTCGGAGAATGGGTTTGATTTGGTTTGATTTGGGTTCTGTTGGGTGGATTGGATTTGTCTTGGGCTAATTGTTTATTAATTTATTGATTGATTGACTGTGTTTTGATTCGTTGATTTTTTTTTTTATTATTATTATTTTTATTATTATTAATTGTGTGTAGTGTAGCTTGTTGTGCACAAAAAGGTTGGAATAATTCTTTGTTATGTGTTGTTGAATTTGATGATGAGGGATTATGTGCATTTTTTTGACTTTGATATTAGTTTGGAGTCATATTTTGGAATTACTGTACGATCTGCCTGTTGAGAGAATTTTAGATTAGTATATTATTTTGTAACTTCATAATTTTTTTAAGAGGATAAACGTTAGTATTGTTGTTTAAAGAAATTATACATTTCAATATAAATCCAAACTTTGATAGTTAGAAATAATATGGATTCTCTCTCCATATTGTTAAGATTCATTACGTTGAAGTCTCGTCATTTGAATAAAATGCAAGGTTTCTTAACGATGTTTGTCGTTTGATGGACACAATTAACCAACTCCACTTTGTTATCCTAAATCATTTCTTGTAACTAATATTATGGATTACTTCATCTTGTGATATTGCCTTTTGATAATAAAGGTGTCCGGCTAACGAGATCGAGCTAAGTTACTCAAATGATTTGACCATATTTGGACTAAAAATGGTGCAAGCTAGGTTATCCAGATCATGGTAATCGACCTAAAGAGGTGTTGAATTCTTTAATAAGAAGGATTTTACAAGAAGCCTATTTGTAGATGAAAATGAGTATGGAGCATTTTGTAGAGAATTAACTTATATATGAACTCTGAAAAATATGAAAAAACCTAATCACAATCAGTATTACTTTCGTGTGCAGTTGCATATCGAGTTTTTGTTTTGCATAAACTGACTTAAGCATTCGATGTTCACATTGAGAACCTATTTCAGCACTTTGTAAGTATTTGAAGCCGGTTTGTGAGGTGCATAATGCATCAACCATGTTTGTTCATATATGCGTGGAGCATATAAAATCAAACTTACACGAGGTGTCATTGTTATTTTCACACTCTTTTGGGACTTTCTTGTATCCAATCCAAATCTCAAGGGTGCTTGGGACAATTATCTCTAAGTATGATTTTAGAGTGGGGACAAGTGGAAGTGGTGTAGTCATTTTCTCGTGTTTCATTGGATGTATATAGTAGAGACTTTTCTTTGAGAAAAATTGGGGGTGATTGCCTTTTCAAGTAAGATATGATTGAAAAGCTAAAGCCCAACTGCACAAGAGTTTGAGTAAAGATAGAAATTGGAATAATTGCCTGGTCTAAGGCATATATATGTGTGTGAATTGTAGGTAGATATCATGGATTTTCACCAATATGGGCTCTATGGAAGCCTTATAATTTGGTAGGTCACCTATCCTTTTTCTCCTGTTTACTTTGAACCTTTTTGCAATGCCCATTGTGTTTCCAAACTTGTGGATATTATATGCACTCGTCTTAATTTTGATTGTACCAATGTGTTAACGACCTCGACCAGATAGAACGTCCTCGAATCCGCTCACAGTTAGTTCAAAAACTTGCAAAATGGATCGAGAGGTGTTCCCAATTTTAGCATTCCAACAATCAAGTCAGTCCACATTGATAAAGACGAAAAACGATAGATATATATAAAGCTTGTAAGTACAAAGAGTGTGTAGAGTTTGAATTGTTATGTCTCACCCCTTTTATATAGGAGTGGTAACTTGTTGCCCAAGCCTGCCACCCAGATGGAAGTGCTCAAATTGTCTCGGAGTGCTCGAACTACCCAGATCTGTGTGGTTCTTATCCTAATAATATTAATTCTTATCTCTTAATCTGCTCTATTAGATGGTCTAATATATATATATATATATAGGATGTGGTTCAAATGAGAACCAAGTCCTAGCGTGAGAACTGTGAGAACCGCTATTTTTAATTGTACGTAGTGCTATGATTGATTGTATTTTGTGCTATTTTTAATCAGGATGTATTTTATTAAAAATAGCAACTTAACATTTGTAAAAATGATAGCACCATGTAATATTAAAAATAGCATAATACACAATTAAAAATAGCATTAAATATGGTTCTCACGGTTCTCACATCAGAAAAGGTTTTTATTTGAACCACTCCCTATATATATATATATATATATATATAATTGCTGACAAATTTTAATAAATTTTATTCAGTTATCAATTAATATGAGTTCATTTAATAAAAACAGGTGTTCATTTAATAAAAATATATCCAACCATCAATTGGTGGGACGGGTCGGGTTGGGATAGTTGGCTCTACAAATAAAGTACTAAATAGTAGTATAAGTCAAACCGCTCGATGATGACTTCTGTAATTTGTTTTAGTGGATATAAAAAAGATTACTGTTGGCATCACACTATGAAGTAGACTTGTTAAATGCTAGTAAGTCAAACCAATTGATAATGACTTACCTAGTTTGTGTGTGAGTAGGAGTGTTATTTGAGCCGAAATACGTGAGTAGTTAAGGGTGTGATTGTTTATAAATTTAACTAGTTTTTATTTGGTTTGGTTTTAACTGTAGTTAATTTTGTAAAAAGGTGGTATGGTTAGTTGTTAGTGGATATATTAAATTAATATTTAAATAAAATAATTAAAGTTGATTTGATGTAAAGTAAGAGAAAAATAATTGGAAGTGATGGTTAGTTAAAATTATGTGAGTTGATGAATAGTGAATTAAAGTTGATGTAATGTGTAAGAATGATTGGTGGTATTATTTAATTGTATTGATAAAATTGAAGATAGTGGGTTTGAGTTAAAGTTGAGTTAAATTTGAGTTTTAATTGATTTTTTTTACTGTTGAAGCAATATCCAATCGCCCCCTAACTTATTCATACTCGTTTAATAAACGGCTACAAGGCTGGGCTTGTTTATGTTTTTGAAAGCGTGGCTTATATAAGCTTAAAATCATAAAAGAGTTGTTCATAAATAAGTCCGATTTGATTTTTTCACGAACAAGTTTGACTTGGCTCATTTAAGTAAACGAACAAGTTGAGCATGAGTTTTCACGAGTTAAGTTGGGGCATATTCAGTATTCACGAGCATCTTGGTTCAAAGAACAACTTTAGGCTTTAGCTTTGAAATAGTCTAACTAAATGGGTTGAATCATCATACTTTTTTTTATAAAAACACATAGATTTACTATAAATATTATATTTTTTGTTTATTTTTAAAACTATGATATTTGAATAGAACAAATAACACATATTAAAAATATACATATACATGTGATTATTTAATAATTAATTATGTCCAACATAAACCTAAAGTACATTAATAGTGGGTTGACAAAAACTCTTGTTAGCATCATAATTTGACATTGACTTGTTAAGTTCACTTTCATAGCAATTAGCACTACTATGAACCAATGAAAATGAAGTAATTGTACATTGTGCTTGTTTTGTCAATGTTGCACCAGCGTATAGTGCACAATTTGCACATACACAAAGTGCATGTAATCAATCATAGTGTGACTGTTATTTAATTAGGAGTATTTAATTACATATTGAAGGATAATAACAGATCACAAATCATTAACTGATTGAAATTAGTTAGATTGATTATTTATTGCGTCACTGAACCCATATTTGTAGAGCGAAGATTTATATTTTTATTTTTTTAGAACAATAAATTACAGATTGGACAGAGGAACTGCCAAA